GCTGACCGATTGCGCCACTGGAGCACAGCACCACAGATTCACTGTCTGGATTAACACCACACTGATGACAGGCTAATTAAAGGTAAACATGTTTCAGTCATTCAGTCTCACTGGGACACTGATTAACATGACAAAAGCATTATGCATTAGTGCTACTGTAATGCCTCAGGCAGGTTTACACCCAAAACCTAAAACTTGTTGCATCCTGTAAGTTCAGCAGTTGCAGAGATTTCCATGTGAGACTCCCAAGTCTCTTCTTGTGATCTGTGTGAACTGTTAGTTACAGTCACACTGTGCTAAAAAATGTGCTTCAGGTGAGGCTCAAACTCATTACCTCAACCTCACCGTGCAGGTCTCTGCCTTTCAAGTACCATACAGTGACTGTTTACACTACTGGAGCCTGTGATTGTCTCTCGAATCAGGTTAAATGTAATGGACTGTGAAGGCTAGTCTACAGTTTTTATAAGGTTTTTTGAGGTAAATTAATGTTTTTAAATGACTCTTTTCTTCTACTGCGGTTACTGTTGGTTAGCATCAAAGTATCGTATTTAGATGCAACTGTTAGGTCTACTTTATTTGACTGCTTACATTTTATTCTATTCTCTACTACTACCACAAGGTGAAGCTATGATATATAATATGATGATCAAGCACTGCTTCTTCTAATATGTTCATTAAATTCGAATTATTTACATCACAGAAATCTGGGACTGTGGAAGTGGAAATTTCCACATTATATGCAGCTGTCCAGCAAGTGTCAGCAGTGTAGAACAGGCTCCAGTGGCGCAATCGGTCAGCGCGCGGTACTTATAAGACAGTAACCTGCGGAGTGATGCCGAGGTTGTGAGTTCAAGCCTCACCTGGAGCAGGGAGCTTTTACCATGGTGGTTGAAGAAAATAAGTCACTGAAAAACATATCTCTGCACAACTGATCACAAGAATAATGAACTTTACTGTACTGCTGCTCATCTTTAAACTATAGAAAGATCATCATTAAACCCTCTGCAATCACTAAAATGAACACTGCTCAGACCCACACACTGTTAGGTACAAATGAAATGTTTTGTTTTTTCCAGTTAAATTTTTAGGGAGACAAAAACTGAGATTATCTAACATTCCTTTAAATTGCTGATCCAAATAAGACTGAGGAATTAATTTATCTCCTTATTTTGATTTTCACATGAAGGATTCACGCTACAATCTCATGTAACTGGAAAACTGAAAAGCAGCAACAAGCCAGGCACAACAGTGACTTGTGATTTTAATCAGCAGCTTGCCAGTGAGATCAATAGCTGAGGCACTGCTTCCTTTCATTAGACTTTACACATTGTCACACTTATCAAGATAGATGCAACAGCACTGTTGGGAGTCTTACCTGCTCAGTTGAAGTAAAGTAACAATCTGTGTCACTAAAACAATGTTTTGTGAGACATTTGTGGAAATAAAACGCAATTTATTGGGAACAACAAATGTTATCCTAAATGTAGGTGTTGCAATGTTTAAATAGCCCTTCAGCATGTCATGACAGGATGTCCTGGTTTAGAAACATAGACTGGCAATAGATTGATTAATGGATAAACCTGGGGGATATAAATAAAGTTAATGATTCACACACATTGTTTTTTTTGGTTATTAAGCATTTTCCTTCCTTCTTTGTGGATGTTTACTGTAAACTAGATTACAGTAAAGTGATTTTTCACCAATAATCTACAGTATGATTTTATTCTTATTCTGCTATAGAAACTATAGATAGTAGTACCAGAAAATTGCCAACACTAAACATGTGAACTGTGCATTACCAAAGTATCACACACAATAGAGATAATGGGGTCTCTCATAGAGTGTACCCACAGGTCTTCCACAACACTTTATCAGGGTTTTCCAAAGAACCTCAAGATGCTTTCTAGTCTCCTTAGAAGCTCTGACAGTCCTCCTACATTACTGAGTAATCTCAGAACTCTGCCCCCTTATACTACCTGAGGATTTGGTACAAACAAAGAAATTAGGAAGAAAAGAAAAAGGCAGGAAGTTTGTTGTGTTCTGTGAACGCCCACTAGATGTCAACCCAAGCCCAACAACTTACAGGCTGAACCTTTTAGTAACAGCATTGCTGCTGCTGAGGGTATAAAGCTTGAATTACTGCGACATCGCTGTGTTCTTTGGGATTTGAATTTCATTAATTCAAGCAGAAGGTTTATTAGCGTGCAGAACTCTTATTGATGCTCCCTGCGCGTTGTACTGGGTTTGTTCATTCTGTCCCCTCCCTCCCCTCCTCTTTGAATGCGCACACACACACACACACACACACACACACACACAGTGGCTCTGGCATTCATTAAGTCTTGTCTGTAATTGAGTCTAAATAAGTGTGTACTTATGTTAGAGAGGAGCTCTGAGAGCACAAACACAGACGTTACTGGTCTGCGTACAAAATACAACACTCAAACTTATTCCATTTCTTACACTTAATGCTGCATTAAGCTCATTTTCTAACAAGGTCTCACACGCAGGGAGGTCAGTCGCACATTCAGACTGTTTTAATAAAAATACCATAACTAAGGATTATGGGTGATGCTATAAGCCTCAAAGAAAACACACTTTCTAACATTGCACCAATGCTGCAGTGTTTCAATTTCTTTCTCCACACAGGAATATAGAGAGAGTAATGGAGACCTTTGCTATGGCCAGCCAGTGCTATTGATTGTCAGACCATTTGACATTTTGGTCATAGGGTTATTTGAGGGCAGAGAGGGAATTTCTGCAGTGACCTTTTTTATGAAGTCTTGTCATTCATGTGTGCTGAAGAGGGTAAAGCCTATACTGCTGATGTTTTATTGACTGAGGTGACAAAACAAAAAGAGAAACGGTGGAAGGGTCTGATGACAAGGCAAATACCACTCTCGCGCCTGTCGCAGGTGGTTAGCTTAGCTTAGCACAAGGCCTTTTTGTTTATGTGTATCTAAACATTGTTGTGTGGCATGTTAATTAGTGAGCTGTTGCTGGAAGATGGATTTTGTTACCTTTGGGTTGAACCCCCTTTTTTCCCCAGCCTGTATGCTAAGCTAAAGTAAATGATTGCTGGCTGAAGCTTCACATTTAGCATACAAACCTGCGATTGGTATCAGTATTCTCATCTAACTCTCAGCAAAGCAAATACATATACATAACATATTTCCCAAAATGTTCACATATTTCTTTTAAGAAATAAATGAACAAACTAAATTTGGAGACATTAAGTTACTGTAGTGACCTTATGATCGCACTGATTGCTGTTGTGCTTCTGTACTGCTCTTCCCAGACACAGAAGTAGTCAGACATGGTGGGGAGAAGCCTTTGTTCTTCGGGTTTCGTAACTATAGGTGCTGCTCCTCTCTTCTCTCTTCTGTTCGGCTTCTCTTTCTGCCTAGGCGGTAACGGCCTACTTTCCCCTTATTTTATGCTCACCTGAAGCATTACGCTATATACACAGAAATAATAGCATTACCAGGAGTGTAAAATTGAATAAGTACGGTTTTATGGTAGAGGGAAGGAGTTGGAGCTGCTTCCCTTCCTTTTGCCGGCCCATCAGACCTTTGTTGTTTTGGTTATTTTGAGTAGTTTGACGGTTTGGTATTTTTGGTCTCTTCCATTGTTCAGAAATACATGTGTTGTGTTTGGAAACTCCTGTCTTTGTGATTATGTTGGAGCCTTTTTTTTAATGGGCCATTATCAGGGGAGGCGTAACCTACAGCATTAAATAAACAGAGAGTAGCATCAAAGTATATGTGGATGTCACAGATTATGATTTAAATGTGACTTGCTTAATACTATAGTACACCTGCATTAACTAGTTTTCTTGGCCACCTAGGGGCTGCTAAAACAAGCCATAAACACAACACACATTATCGCTATTTATAGCAACAACAAGGAACTTTCATTTTGTGTCGATTCTGGCAGCTTGTGTGAACAAAAGTGCCTCGTTACATTGATTTCAAAGGGGAACACAACCAAATCTAACCCGGTGGCAGGCATTAAGAATAACTATTCAGAAACAGCCAATATTCTCTCTTGTTTGTTTATGTAGGGCATATAGAGGCTTCAGTATTACATTTGTTTCATAAAGAGTCGTGTTTCTGGCAACCTGGTGAATTTATGTCCAATACTCACTCTGTCTCTCTAGCTGCTAAATGCTTTACTATGTTCACCAGCTGGGCACTAACTGTGTCAGCTGTTTGGTGCTAAGTAGGTAGTGCACATGGGGTTTTTGGAGCTTTACATTGAAAACAGCTTCCTGCTGCAGCTTAAAACAAGGCTATGAGAGTGGACCAAGACAGTAAAGTGGTGAGACAGACAAATAAAACAGTGAGCTGAAAAACTACAAATATGTGGAGCAGCTGCAGAGTCATCATTTTGATGGTAGATGGACTGTACTTGTATACCTTTCGAGTCTTCTGACCACTCGCAGTGCTTTTACAAACCCAATCACAAACAGAAACTAATCCATTCATTCACATTTTGGAGTTCAGTGTGTTGCTCAAGGACACTTTGACATACAAAAGGAGGAACCAGGGACTGAACCACCAACCATCT